GGGAAACAAAACAGCATTGGGGTAAATTCAAACCAAAAAGAAAACAAGGTCATACAAAAGTTGTGCTCTTTCCACAACGCCGAATCTGGCTGGTCAAGTGGTGCTCCCACGCACACGGTATCTGTGCTCCATCCTGTATCTTGTGCACACAAGGGGTAGACACAGTGGTCATGACATAATACAGCAGCCACCCCTTCACATAGGTGGTCCCCATCTCTCTGAAGCATTCCAACTTTGGCCTTCCCAAAGTCTACATCCTTCTTTCACAATTCCACAGACCAAGGGGGTGGATTATCAGTGATAAGATGGCTAAAACATTTTTGTGCAGTTGTTTTTACATGCAAGCACTGCATTGTTTTTCAAACCGGAAACTCCAGTGCCTAAAGATGGTTCTCCAATGGCTACAAAACTGCAATCTCCAGTGCCTAAAGATGGTTCTCCAATTGGCTTCAAAACTGGAATCTCCAGTGCCTAATAGATGGTTCTCCAATTGCTTCAAAATTGGAATTTCCAGTGCCTAAAAAGGTGGTTCTCCAATGGCTTTAAAATTGGAATCTCCAGTGCCTAAAGATGGTTCTCCAATGGCTTTTTAACAGGAACCTCCGGTGCCTACAGATTCTCCAATGGCTTGATGGTTTTAACAGAAGGCTTTACAACATGTGCATATTTCAAATCAGAGACATTGAGGATTTTTTTTTCCTGTGTCCAAAGGAATCCAAAATATATACTCTTGATAATGCCGGTTCTTTTTAATCTCCAGTCAGGAGTGCTATATAGAATGCGATGCCCTCCAAGATCTATAGATAACACTACACAACGTCTGTTAACGTAAACAAGGTATACAAATTTCACGTTTCAGGCAAGCGGCAGTTGATGAGACCACATAACATGCTACAAGTGACAGCTGATAAGAGACCACATGACCCATTTAATTCCTTGCTGCTCTACATCTTCCAACCACTGCATACTGGCAGCTCATTGCATGGGTGCAGATGGACATTACAGCTAGAATCTCACAGCAGTGATCAGTTATGAACGTTCACTCTGCTTTGGGAAACATGCCTAAAAAGCCACATTATTTTCAAATGCAGATATACAATGCCTTTCTTTCTAGATGAGTTTGGCCATTCTGTGTGTTATCCACAAGGTTCCTGGAAGGCAAACTGTGCTTTGATGTGACAACTTCCAGACAGTCCTCAGGGGTGACTTTGTTGAAAAGTGGTGACGTGACAGACAGGAGGGGGATGACTGCGTATCCTCTATATCCCAGCTACCTGTAGTAATCTATGTATGCCCACCTGGTCTGTCCCAGTGCTGTGAAACGCAGGAGAGCAGGAAACATGGACCAGTCCTACGACAAAGTGTGCTATTTAGAAAGCTTGCTGATGACTCGAATTAGAGCTCCATTCTCATCTTTCAAGCGCTTATTGTCAGCCTTGAGGTCTCCGAGAGCCTGTGAGGGGTAAAAAAAATGTCAAGTTAATGAAGAGTAACAGCATTTAGTTACATAGTATTTGAGGTTGAATAAAGACACAGGTCCATCAAGTCCAAAATTTGTGTCTATGTATGCGATTGTGCATTTGTATATGTGTACACAAGTCCCTTTTCCGTCTAAAAGCTGCATGCAAAGTGTTACCAAGAATCACTAGCATGGGAGAAACATTACATAAAATGAAGCACAAAGCCCAGCTCCCCAATTAATTTATAGTGGACCTTCATGGCAAACATAAGGTCCATTTGTTTGCCTTCCCCCTGCAACCCCAACACAAATGACTTTTACAAATATAATGACGGAACGGACACAACACATAAATACTAAGACAGAGTAAACACGAAGGGATTATGTATGATGGGTTTGAGGCTATGTGTTGCGCAACACATAACAAATAAGCACTTCAGTGAACAACCGCGCGTACAGCTTGGAAAATGATAACAATTTACTGATAATTAGACTACAAGCTAATCTTACATAATTGTTCCATTACTGCTACTTAACAGGCAGCACAAGCTTGTAGTATGCATTGCATCTGCAATAACTCGAGTTCTGCTGCATTAGAAATGAATACATAAACTGTCAATCTGAAAATGCTATCTGCAATCTGTTCCCATGGCTTCAATACTGTCTGAGTTACTGAACCAAAAGGCATGCAGATCAAGAGTTCTGACCTTGCTGTATACCTCTTCTTGGCTGTTGAAGCCAAGAGGATGAACATGACTGCCAGGCATATTTTCAGGGGGTGGTCAGCAATAACCGTTTATGTGCTTCTCTCATGATAGGTTTCCTTTAGGGCAGGTTTACACCATTTTCCGGACCAGATCTGCCCACAGTTCCAGTGCATTCCAGACCAGACAAAATACAACATGCAGTATTTTTCTGGTCTGGAACAGAGGCCAGAAATAGCATAGGGATACATTAGGATGCATTTTGGGTCCGGAAACAATCTGGTCTGGAGTTGATCTGGATGTAGTGTGAATGGTTTCTTAGTGTGTAGTCTGTTGCCATATGTTTTTAGCATGTGATAGGACATTACAATAGGAATTTAAAAAAATTAAAAGACATTCTAGAGATGTCAGTTGGACACTGTACACTTGACAGGCACACTAGTGCTGAAAGGTAACTGGTTACAACTTGCCTTTACTGATTATGAAGGGTTATTTTCTGCTGAAGCAAACAGATCACTTCTTATAAGGGATTTATGATTTTCATATTTGTTTTTTTAACTGATGGACAAGCATCCTTCCGGGCGACAAACTATTTGATCAGTCCTGCGAATGATAGCATCCCCTATTACCATAACCTGTCTAGGCCTTCCTGCATTATCCTCCCCACCCGGACTAGATGTGCTGCTCTCCCGGCTGTTAGGCGTAGCAGTGACATCTAGAGCTGCCAACTCCGAGTCTGCCACCCACACATCTTCACCCAACTTAGCAAATTTGTTTGGTTGCACAAACACAGGGCTGGCCTTCCTCTTCTGTGAGCCCTTCCACTACCTCTAGCTACAGTAACCTAAGGCTTCATTCATTCTGTGGATCTGTGATTTCAGCATTTCTTCTGCTGCCTCACCATTATTTGTCATATTACTAGTCATCAGAGTGGCAGCTCAGACATGAGGAAGTATAGCCCTGCCTTTACCATGATGGCTGCCTCCACCCAGAGCCCCAGTAAACAATAGAGTAGGTCCATATTGGGAAGAGGATCAGCTGCAGGAAATGCTGGTGAATGATTCTTTGTTCTCTGCTGGCCATTTTGAGCACAGCTTCACAGTTTTTAAAGTCATCTTTAAACAAGAGGGTAAACCACTTGCATACAGCTGTATTACCCCAGAATTGCTTCTCTGCATGACCCAGGACCCCTGAAATACAGGGGTCCGATGATGATTTGCAGATAAAAATGGAGCACTAACCCCCCACCCCCTAATACCACCATAAGAGAACCTCAGGGAGAAACAGAGAAGTGCATACAATGCACTGTGAAAGAAAGGGGAGTGCCAAAACAATGGCTTTCCTATAAAGATAGATTTGGACTAAGGTACTTATTTTTGATTCAGGACAGCCGTAAGGCATGCAGCAACGGCATTGCCATTTAATGGTAACCTGAGCTGCGTGCCATATACTGCTTCAACTGCATTAGGCTGACAGGTTCACTTTAAAAGGATAGGAGGACTAAACAATGCCATATAAACTAGAATTGCTCTTCCCCTCGACTTGACTAAAGCCACTGTATATTTCAATCATTGCTTAAAAAATCATAGGGGCAGATTTCAACAATAAAAAAATATCTTACCTTCAGTTCTTCTTGAAGCTCAGATACTCTGCGTTCCAGGATCATTTTTTCCTGAAACATTAAAAATCAGGCAATTAAAAAACAACCCCAAAAAACTTGAATGTTTATACATAAAACAACATGAGAACGGTCACCAAGTGTAAAATGCCTTACTTTTTTCTCGGTGTCGATAAGAAATGATCTGTCAACACACCTTTCCTGTCTCTGAAAGAATGAAAATAAAGCTGGAGGTTATTGCTCATAAAGTAAAAATTACATTTGATTGTAGTCGGAGAAAGAAAAGAAAAGAAAAAAAAAAAAACTTAACCCATTCTCTGCCCGAGTCATTTTTAATTATTTTGGCATACATGTTAAAAAATGCACATTTTAGGCCTGAAAAATGATATATTACCAAGGTGGGACCTGTACTTTGCTGATGCAGGGCAAGGCAATGGGTTCACTTAAATGCCCCCCTACCCACTATTTCCAGGTATGAAAAATCATGTTACCCATTCCCCCCTCCTTGGTCCAATCCTGTCACAAGGGGGTGGGGGAGAGAGCTCCCTGCTCTGTTCAGCCAATGGGAGCAAGGAAAGGAATCCCAATATGAGCTACAAGTCGCTCTAGTCAGAATTTGTACAAGGCTTTTTTTCCCCCCTCTATCCCAGCATCAGAACAAAAGAAAGGTGGCCCTGTGCTGCTGGGAAGGGGGACACATGTATGGACACATCTGACACACCTGAATTTTCTGATCCAATGCCAAACTAAAGTTAATGTAAAAAATTCTGTTAGGACTTGAAAGCTTTATACAAGTAAAATAAAATGAATTCTTATCTAGTCTTATCTGAAGATCGTCATTACACTTGAAACTAAACATACATACCAAATGCAACACAAACACTAGACAGTGTATGGATTCAGCACGGAGATGACCATTCCCTTACCTGAGTGGCTCTTTCCAATTCTGCTTTCGTCTCAGTCACCAGGTTCTGGGTGTTTAGCAGCTGTGAGCGAAGACGTCCATTGTCTCTCATTAAATCTTCATACAGCTGAAATGCCACAACATCCAATGAAATGACATGGTCATGACATCCACATCATATTCAAGCCTGGCCAACCCAAGATCACAATTATAAATGTTTCCAGCTATAAGCCCCCATCATCTCTCTACGTTCACAGCAATTAGACCCACAACCATTGGAGCTATAAAGTGAGGCTGCGCAGCACAGACACGTGACAAGAGTCTGCAGTCCTGCCGATATTCTTGAGGTTTTAGGGTAAAATTGAGATGAAAGTAACATTCAGTGCACCGTCTCACTTTATTATAGTTGTAGGGTTTAAACCACTGGTCTGGAGTTGCTCTTTAAAGCAAACCTTTCACCACCCCCTTTCAGATTTTCAAGTAAAGTCTAAGCATCCCCGGCTGCTGATTGTTGCCTTAAGAAACTGTTGTTACAGGGAAACCTCGAAGCTCAAGAAATCCAGGACTTTTAGAGATGTTACAAGCAACACTCCCACCACCTCCCACAATGCAACACTGGGCACCTGTTAATAGCCAGCTGTGACCTAACGTGGCATTGTTGGATGGTGTAGGTGAGATCTTCTATGTTGATTTTTCTTCAAAGGAACCTGCCAACAAGAACTTGGCAAGATAAGGCCACTGATCAGCACCTTTCTAGTTTCTCCTTGTAAGGTTAGCTTGGTTGGGGATAGAGATAGCATTATATATTGCATCAAACATTAGCCCTGAACATACTTTTTTGAAGTCCTTAGTGTCCCGGTGTTCAGATGCAATGGCTGCTTCTATGCGGCTCGCCGTGTGTGCGTTGGAAACCGCGTCCGTTCTGAAAGATCAAAATACAGAATGTGCTTATCCCTTGTTGCTATTATGTAATCACTCCCACAATATTAGAAGTGGAAATTGATGTTGGCAGACTCCATAGCAAAGTTCTGTCCGACCTCAAACCAACCCCTTCCACACACACACCCTATCCAAGAGCCGTAGATTTCAAAAGGGAAATGTCAGGGCTCTGTTTAGACCCCTGATAGTTCCCCAAAGCCCCTCCAACAGTACAAAAAAAAAAGAGGTGAGGGGCTTTGGGGAACTATCAGGGGTTCCCCAAAGACATTTCCCTTTTGCAATAGAAAACGCAATTGAGGACACAGAGTTCTGAATGAATGGAAAGCACTCAGTACATAGGCTTCCCATTCATTCACAAACTGGAGATAGTAAAATATTTACTATAATCCAGTTATCAACGGGTAGAAGCCTCTATAGTCAGAAACTTATGAATGAACAGGAAGTGATGTAAAGCACTTCCTGTTCAAACATAACTGGGGACAAATGGTACTATGTGTCCCCAGGTATTTACAAACACTGGAGAGATCAGCTGATCACTCCAGTGTTTGTCCTGCACACAGAGGATCGGTAAATCCTCTGCTACTCTGCCATCCTGAGCGCTGAAGCCAGCAGGGGAGGGGGGAGGGAGCGCTGAAGCCGGCGGTGGGGGGGTGGGAGTGCTGTCACTTCAGGATGGCCAAGCGGTGAGGGAGAGAGAAGAGAGCCACCGGCTGTCAGATACAGCTCTCTCTCCTCACCAGTTTTTTTTTACATTTAGCCCTGCTTCGGGCAGGCAGAGCTGAATGTAGAGCGGGGGAGCCACCACTTGACTTGTTTTGTACATAACAATGTGTGAAGTAAAACAATACATTATTAAATAAAATAAGTAAAATAAAAAAAAAAGTGATAAGTAAAAAAAAATAAAGAAAAAAATAAAATTAAAACCAACCCTGCCGCTCCCACCATCTGGTTGCCATTCTCCATTGGGCGGGGGGGTTGGCGGACGGGGGGGCGCATTGAGGAACCTGGCCTTGGGGCAGCAGAGAGAGTAAATCCGGCCCTGTCAGTACTACAAGGAAAGGTTTAGAACCCCAGGAGAATTTGACCCAGAGACTCGATTATATTAGTTATGGCACAGAATGGTAACCCATGAAACATGCATTATATACAAGTAGACAGACACAGATAAACATTAACACAGCTCTTACCGAGAACTAAGTCCATCTACCTGGGAGGAAAAAAGAAAAAATAAGACAATTCAAATCACACAGCTTGCAGGCAACAATGTAAAAAGAAGTGCTTCAAGCGTATCTCACAGCCATATACTTACCCATATAAAAAGCACCAGAGTCGTGAAGCATTAACAGATATAAAACCAATGTTATAACACAACCACAGTTCCCACCAAAACACAACTCATTAAGATTGGATCCAGATTAAGATCTGCATGTTTACTACTACAAGAGGTAAGAATGCCAAGGCACCTGAGGTCGCGAACTCTCTTCTGCTTCGTCCTCTTCTTCCGAATCCTCTCCATCACTCTGCAAAATGAATTACTGCATTAGTCCTAAAGCTGCAAGAGTATAAAACAGAAATTTACTAACAGACAAATTACTGCACTGAAGAGCTAGCCAGTTCAATCTAGAAGTGGGTTACCTAAAATGTAACACCAACAAAAGCCACAAGACAGGAAGTGAAGGGTCCTTCCCCAACAGGGAGGCAGACAGCAATAAAAAAATCTAAACCTTAAAGTTATGGCTGGACTTCCACATGTCTACATATACACACTGCTGCACGCAGCACAGTACTGGAATGTAAAATCTAGCCAAGCGCTGCAGTCCACATTCACTTTGACATGGCACAGTGCAATGTTAATAGATCTCTGCCATTTGGCTCGCTATACTCTTTCTCGACCTAGTGTCAGGGAGGTCATACTAGGTGTGACAAACCGTTGGATAGCGCCATATTTTGATAACTGTGTACAGAGCCTTATGAACACAAAAGCCGATGTCTGGAAAAGTTCAAAAAGAGAAAGGTGCACCGGCCATTTTTAAAAGAACACTGGCTGTTATCCGTGCAGCTCTGTTTCATCAAAGACATCCAGTGGCTCATCCAGAAAATGTTCAGAAGAAGAGACTGGTTCCTAAATATCAAATACTGTCTTTTTACAGCCTTACATCTCTAGTGGTCAGTGGAACACCAGTAGACCTCCTCTTTTCTCTCGGTCTCCTGCGGTCCCGCACACCAGCTTTGTTTCTACCACTTCTCTCGTCACTTTCTTTCTCGTCCTCATGGGACTTTTGCATCTCTGTGGGTGATATTAAATTGAATTGCTGCACCCCAAAACCAATCACTTCTTCATATTAAAAAGGGCAATTAGAAGACAAAAGCACTAACCTTTGCTCTCTACACTATGGCCTGCACCTCGTCGGTGGGACCCAGAAGAGATTGGAGCTGAGTCTGGGGTAGTCAGTCCTAGAAGATCAGATTTCTGCAAATTGGCGATGCGAGACCTCCAGCTGACCTCTGTCTGCAGAACAGAAACAGTACAGGTACCAGCAAGGTGTTATATCCTATTCAAATTCTGATTTTTAGCCTCATCAGTCTCTGAGGCAGGAAATGATCTTGTTGCAAAAGAATATGAATCTGCTATTGACAACAAGCTCTAACTAATGCAATTTATCACTCCCGACCCCCAAATCACTCACTCCTTCGTCAACAGTCCGACTACTCCTAGCTCTTGGTTGGTTGTCTTTAGTAGTGTCCTGTTCCTCTTTCTGTGGCTCGGCTTCTGTTGGTTTGTTTTCCTGCTGACCTTTGATGACTTTTTCTGCTTCTTTCAGATCAGTGAGAGTCACTCCCTGTAGAAGAATAAAAGTAAAAAGTCTTGGAAACTGGCCCAGAGAAAGTTTAAAGCGGATCTGTGTTCCGCCAAAGATCTCCCTAAATTATCTCATCAATGTATGCATGAAGTCCCTTAATAACCATTTTTAAAAGAAGTGCAGTGGACAGAACTATCGTCCTTCTTGAGAGTTGGGACCTAAAAATGGGATCAAATGGGATCCAAATGTTTATTTTCAGGGTCTCCAGAAGGAGTAAATTCTGCTGTGTTTTAATGGGAAACATACAATGCCAGAATGACAGCTAAGCCAGCTAACCTCTCATTAGTAATGAAGAGAAGATTCCTATTAATACACAATAGAAGCTGGTTTCAGGGGAAGAGCTGTAACAATTTCAGGAGACAATGCAGCTAAAAGCAAGAAACGATTTAAAGGAGAACTATAGGGTCAGTGTTTTTCCCCATAGTTCTCCTAAGGGTCACGGGAGGACACAAACTAGCGTCCTGCCATGACCCAGAGCTCAGTATACCGTGAGCTACAGCTCGCGGTATACCGAGACCGCCGCAGCCAGGCCGAATCCCTACATTACTGTCGAGATCCACCCAGCTGCGTGATTGACAGCTGGCTCTGCCTATCTAGAGGCAGAGCCAGCTGTAGCCGCCCCCTCCCCCGTCCGTTCCGCCAGTCAGCGTGGGAGGATCGGAGCGGGGAATGCCTGCAGGGAGCCGTGAGTGACAGTCACGGCTCTCTGCAGGGACATGATCGAGAAGTGAGCGAGCGACGGTATGTGTTTGCTCACTTCCCAATCTATTGAGCCAACGTGTGACAGTTTCATTGTCACATGTCAGCTCAAACTATGAGGTTGAGTGAAAACCACTCACCTCATAGTTCTCCTTCAAGGACTGCTGGCAAAAACCAAAGTCTTGGCATAAATATAAACTGACTAAACAGTTGTGGAAAGAATGTTTACACAGCAATAGCAAATAATGAAAAGTGCTTGCGGCTGTAAAACTGCTCACCTGAGTGGAACGACGAGATTGTCGCGCATGGCGAGACCGCGCCTTTCGTTGTGCCTCCGCTTCCTCGTCCCTCACTGGAGTCAAGTAAGACCTAAAAGTCACAACACTCCATGTGAACCTCATAGCCAGCCAAAGTGCACTGATGTATCGCTACATTCCAAGTAATCAGGAAAATGTAGCAAAGGCCCAGTTGGCTCCCTACCTGCGCCTCTCTTTGGTCTCAGAGTTGGTTGTAGGCTCTAGATTTGTACTAACAGTTTTTGCAGTCTCTGTATTTCTAGAAGAAAGACAACAAAGAAGCTAAAAATGCGGGTCCTTCCTAACTGCTAAATGAGAGGTATTTATCAAAACTGGAGCAAATGTGCATGGCAACCAATCAGCTTCTCTCTTTAGTTTGTTGAGTTAAGATTTGAAAATGAAAGCGAGGCTGATTGGTTGCCAAGCACATCTGCTCCAGTTTTGATAAATTCCCCTCAATGTACTTCCAAAATGTAGATGCTTAGCTTATCATGAACATTTAGGAGCAAGAGCCTCATATTAACAAAACCATATTTCATCACCAAACACTCATCATAGTCCTTTATATAGATAAGAGAACAGCCTTCATAAGGGGTGCAAGTCTAGTTGTTACTTAAGTTACTTCATATAAGTGTGCCACGTAACGTATGATGGTTTACAGCAGAGGTCCTCCTAAAGGCACGCGCTTCTCTGCAGACGTTTACGAAAGGAGGAATATCGAGAACAGGAAGAAAATATCAAGCCAAAGATGTTACCTTCCAAGTGAATTTGGCGTGGTGTCTGCTGGAGTCTTAACAGTATTTGCGCTCGTCAAGGAAACCTCTGGTTTACTTAATAATGGTTCTCTTTTGGTAAGAGTGGATTCGGGCCTTGACGACAGAAAATCTCCTCTCTGCCTACGGAATGAGTTAAGTCCTTCATCTCCATCATTACGCTGGCGGGTGAAGGACCCACGGCTAAACTGAGGTTCTCTGTAAAAAAACAAAAAAACACAAATATTAGAATATAATAATGCATGTTCCCCAACATCTGCAAGCAATGTACTTGATTGGCACACTGCAAGAAAGAATTGAACTGCATAAGGGTCACCTACTGACCAATAATGAACACTTGAGTTTTGATACTCCACATCATCACACTTATTATAGTTCTAGTGAATGTGTTTGTCATGCTGATTGATTACCTTCTGTACTTTTTGAAGTCACTGACCCAGAACAAGCACGGCGATCAAGGTTTTAGTTTTTTCAGTTCACGCCTGCTCAGCTTGATGCATGCTTGTTCTGGTTCATTGTCTCAGAACGTACTTAGGCCAGAGCCAACCTGGCTACCAGCAGTCAGAAAGAAGGTGAGCTGATATATTCCGCTCTGCTCTGTGCAAGTTTCCTTTAACACGCACTCACCTCACATTTTCCTGGTTCCCGAGCAATTTCTGACTTGGAGTCACCCTTGCTAAACGAAATTCAGCCCCAGTCTTTTCCTAGAAGAAATAGTTTAAAGTAAATGGCAGTCGAGAATCAAAGTGGGAAAGAGCACAGAGATGGGAATTAAAGTTGAAAACAAGTGAAAGGGCCCCAAGTCCACTGAAAAGAGAGAAGTAAAGTTGTGTAAAAGCTGGAAATAAATAGTTGAAGTGGAATAATGTTCCAGTGAGATGGTCGGTGAGAATACACACTCTGTCTGCTATCTGGGAGCTGGAGGCAGATTTAGGCAATGCTGCCCTCCTGCCTTCTTCGGAAGTGGTGCCAGAACTCAGTGCGCCAGAACTACCCGTCTTCTTTAGAGAGGCTCTCCATGAACCCAACTGAGGCTCAGATTTCTCCTGTTCCTGGACAGCCGGGGTCTACGGAGAGCAGTGTACATATAAGCTATGTGGACAAGCATCACGGTAATCTGCTTGGCCCCTTTCATGGGGAGAAAAGACTACAAAGAGTGTTCAATCCCATGTTAACCACGCCCTTCCCTCTCACCTTCTTTGCCGCTGTTCCGGAAAGGTTCCGCAGTTGATTGTTCAGGTTGTTGATTCTTTCTTGAGCTTTCACTTTTTCTGGAAAAGTCAACCAAAATGAAAAATAAAATACACAAGAACAAAGAGAAAAAAACTACAGACAAAACTTTGTATTTTTACTTATTGGATTGAGTGGTGAGGGGTTACAACCACTGTCAGGTTCTCATTGCTATCTTTGTCCACATCAGGGGATTTGTTCTAACTGTCCTGATCACCAATGTCACAGGAAATGAAAGGGAGGGTAAATCTAACTAAATCTTCCAAAGGAGACACTTGTTCCTATGACAAATGTCTAAGAGGGGATTTCCCTCATGCTGGGAAGATATCCTCTCACTTCTTGTTTAGTCTACAGGGCAGGAAATGAAGGAAGATCTCCCTAATGAGAAACAGATGACAAAAAAAAAAAAAACTGACAGCGGATTTAACCCTACCCTATCAGAAATGGGAAAAAGTTCTGGCTTTAGATATATTTTAAACCTTATGTGAATCTTCATCAAGTACACAGACTAGGATCGTCATTATAACTTGCACAACATTGCCACGTATCTAAATATATGAAATAAACCTTCTAAATAGCTTTTGAATTGGTCTATAGTCAAACAGAAGCTTATTGTACCTGAGTTTGGCGCTATGAGGGTATGGATGGTTTATTTTTCCTGTGCATGGCTTTAACCCCTTGCATGCACCTAATTTTGCAGCAGAGCTAGCAGCATGTCCTACTACTGCAGGTGGAGACATAGGGATGAATGACAGCTTTGAATATTTCCTGGGTGAGCTGGGAGGCATGGCTGCCTACAATGTCACATGCTAACTATGCAGGACTATAGGAACACTGTGCGGTAGCTTAGTGTCCTGAAATCAGAATGTAGGGCTGACAACACTGCCCCAGGATTTGAACTCTGTGGTTAGCATTGTCACCTGCTACCTGGAAAAGGAACCTTCTGGCAAGACCAAAAAGGTATATCCCTCAAAAGTATGTAAACCTACAGCAAGCATGATGAGAGGAACCTTTTGCTCTTAATTTTTTGGGTTTACAACCACTTTCAAAATTAGGTCCACCTAGCACAGATATCATTTTTGGTGTATACCAAGGTGGTACAGCATATTCTGGCCTCATATACCTCTCTGGCATGCCAAATGGGAGAGAACCCCAGCCTGTTTTTTTTTTCACTATACATCGCAAGGCCATAAGGATTCATATCCGATTCGAGAATGTAACAAAGTTCAACCAAGTGTCTCTCAGGAGTAAACAGTACCATGGCTTTGCATAAAACAAAGCCACAGTGTTTTTATTGATACAATGGTGGCTTTTAATTCCATTGAGATCTCTCCTCAATGATTCCAAACAGCAACCCAAGCGATGAACCAACTCACTACCATTACCAAAATTTGACCTATCATTTTGAGTGGAATATCTTTGCAGGGGAAGAAGAAACATGCCTTATCAACATTCATTCTTATAAACTACAAATACAGATGAAAAAAATTTCTTCTTACATCAAAAGGACAACGACACAGAAAAAAAGGCTCACCCGATTCAGCATCAGAACCAGACTCATCGGAACTGGAGGCGATTGGCTGGGCGGCGGGTATGGTTGTGGCGAGGGGCTGTGCACGGGGCTCTTTGTCCTGAACGCGCAGCGCAAACTTCTCCTGGCTGCTCAGACGAGAAATAGAACTCCTATTTGAGAAAGGAGTAAAGGTAGGGAGCATGCAGGGATCAGTGCATGGTGCCCCGGGCAGCACACCACGTGTCACCCAACACATACAGTGAGCACACACCAAGATCACACTGTGAACAAACTTCGCTGTGCACCACAATCTCCCATGTGACACACAGTGTAGGACACAGCACACAAACCAGTGAAAAATCACCGTGACGTCCACCACCTCCACCGTGACACGCTGCATGACCCACGTGCGGCCATCGCTTTCATGCAACACAATCATCGTGTAACACACAGTAAGGCCGCTGTGCCACACTGTCCATTCCAACACCATCTGCGTTCATCACGCCAAAACAGTATGGCCAGTACAGACCTTCTTGTTCTACTAGCTGCATTCTGGTTGGCGGAAGTTGTCTGGGTCATAATTTGAGGCGCGGTCTTCATTTTCTCCAAGCGTAACTGGAAGAGAATGCAGAGGAGTAAAAAGTTGAAACTGAAATGATAATAAAAGTGCCATTTTAACTGAACACTGATGCCCTATATATAAAGGAGTAAATATTTTCTTCAGTGAATAAAGATCGCTCACGTTTTATAACGATCTCTTATGTACTGTACCTGAGTGCAACTCAGCGTTTCCTATAAATGGCCATTTTAGGCTCAGGACAGACTAGAGCTGACCATATACTCAGTTATTTCCCGTTCAGCCCTCAGGGTTAAATGTATTTGTGCCACCAGCAGAATACCCAAACTGCAACTGCAGTTGAATGGCTGCAGTCACCGCTCAGTCAAGAACTTTTGGACTGGCTCCTTTGAAAAAGAAAGGTCAAGTAGAGTGGTGCCGACAGGGTCAACCATGGATGGAATTTCAAGCAGTGTAGGACCAGCTTAAGTTCCTTAACGGAGTACCACAGGTTCAAATTAAGGATGCGCCGATACCGGTTTTCCGAGTACCGATATTTTTTTTTTTCCGGTACTCACCGATACCAAATACCAATACCAATACCAGAAGTCCCATTAAGGAAGCCAGGAGGCGTGTAAAGACTCGCCACCTGGCTTCCCGATTAGCATGGAAGCCGTCTCAATGCTCGCTCGTCACCAGGCGATGAGAGAGCATAAAACCCGCGTTCTGTCCAATCAGAGAGCGGGGGTGGGGGCAACTAATGACTCGCCGTCCGGCTTCCTGATTGGCCTGCTTCCCACCCAATCAAGCGAGTCATTACATGCTGCCCGGCTGGAAAGTCGGCTCCATGCTCCCTCATCACAAGTGACGAGAGAGCATGGAGCCGGCCAATCAGGAAGCCGGGCAGTGTGTAATGAATCGCTGCCCCTGCTTCCTAATACCGGAAGCTCAAGTATCGGGGAAGGCATCGGAGCATTTGAGTGAGTACGAGTAGTCACCCTACTAGTATCGGTATATCCCTAGTTCACATTCTGATTCTTGTAGTTCGCCAAGCATATGCTTGATGCAAGCTGCCTTAGGCTTGCCATACATGTCAGGATGTGAACATCCTGAACTGACAATGCATTGTATCCCCTACCGCCATGGAAATCAAAAAAAAAAAAATTAACCGTGGCTGCGTCCACTGCTTCTACGATGGGAATTGTTTCCTCCGCTTGATATGTACACTTATATGTTTGCACAACAAAACAGAAAAACGATAAATAAAAGAATTTATAAAAAAAAAAAAAAAATATGAAATCTATTAAATAATCGTCTTTTAGAATGCATGGGTGCCGACAGGGCTTTGCAGTGCTGGAATTTCCAATAGTGTATGGCCAGCTTTATTATGTTTTAAAGGGAACCTATACTCAAAGAATTATGCAGCCTGTTATATTGTGCTTGGCTATTTCATCCACTAGTCTGGAGCAATCTAAGACCCCATTCACACTGAGCGACATGCAAATCGCGCGACTTTGAGCGACGAGCGACGTGTCGCGCGACATCGCGCAACATCTTCCTATTGGGCTGTATGCAATCAGGAGCAATATCGCTCAAAATCGCTCTAAAAAAGGGTCATGTAGAAGCGACAAGCTACCAGCGACGAGCTACAAGCGATATTGAGCGATATTGAGCGACGAGATGTGAACAGCTACATTGAAATGTATTGGTGAAGCTACATAGAGCGATATAGTGCGTAAATATGAGCGATATCGCTACAAAAATCGCGCGATAAATCGCTCAATGTGAACGGGGCCTTAAGCAAATGCCAAACACCTATATCAGCATTCTTGTTCTGGGTAAGTGACTCAAAGTAAGAAGCCACTGGATAAGCATGACAGCCAATCTTCAGTTCTGCTCAAATAATTTCTCTCTGTAATCCTTTATTACTGACTTTGCATGTAAAACCGTGTTTTAGCTACAGGTCCTTTGGAGGCAAGTCAATGTCTGAAACGTTGTCTCACAAGTCAGCCCCATTGACAGGTATATCTAAACCCCACAAACAGAGCCAACATCCTCTCACCGCACTCTGTTTGTTCTTCAGCTTCTCAAGCGCAGACTCTAAACTGTCATCTGCCACATCAAAAGGCGTCTGACCCTAGAAAAGTGGAAAGAGATGTCTGAACAAAGACTATAAAACAGCCCTGCAAATATTTTACAAGAGTCATGTCAGTCTTTCTAGAATCTTGGTGTGCTTTGTATATTTCTTCCAGATTTTTACACTAAAACCCAGTGTGAAGCTTTGCCTCCGTGCAGGAGCTTCCTGTAATAAAGACCGGTCACTGCTGCTCTCTCTGCGGGTGCAAGGTAACTGGTCTAGTCTCTGCCCCACCTAGTTTTGTGCAGGTGTTCTATCAAAGATTGTGACTGGGTTGAAATGTGTGACCAGTCACGCGGTCACATATTTTAACATCATCACGCCCACTTTTTCGGCAGTGGAATGTGTGACCGGCAAAAGGTGAAGAATTCCAACGCTTTCTCAGCTGTTCCAGGGCAGATCGGCATTGCAGATCGTATGTGCAGGAGAACCGATCTGCCCTGGAACAGATGATCGGTCCTGAAATGAGTCCTTTGTGAGTGGGGTGAAATGAGAGAGAGCAATCACAAAGTCGGATAGAAGTGATTTCAGGACCTTTCAGCTGTTCCAGGGCCGATCGGTTCTCCTGCACATACGATCTGCGAGGCCGATGTGCCCTGGAACAGCTGAGAAAGCGTTGAAATTCTTCACCTTTTGCCGGTCACATATTCCACTGCCGAAAAACTGGGCGGGATTTCGTTAAAATGTGTGACCACGTCACCGGTCACCCATTCTAACGCAGTCACAAACTTTGATAGAACACAGGCAGCCTGTAGTGGGTGGAGCCGGCTGGACCCCTCCCACACCTCTGCTCAGGTCATGCACAACAAAGTGATGTCATCACTGTTACTTTTATATAGTAATATCTGAGTTTCCAAAGGCTTTTGGTGCACACCAAGTTGATTCTTATCCTTTCTAGCTTTTGAAATGAAAGTTCTTGTGCCTGGAGTGCAGCTTTAGCATGCACCTCTGGACTATAAGAGTTGCTACTGTAAAGCAAGGCAGAAAAACACCAATAAAGAGCAATAATTGTCTAACTTGTATGTGTATAGAAGCTCTTAAAATAGGCTCGGAATGATTTTGCGATCTAGAAAAATTAACAGAAGCTTCTTCAACAAGACATTATCAAGTGCAATGGTGTATAGTAACCACGTCTTCCTTTTTATCAGTTTAGTACGAGCAGGATAGTGAAAAGTGATTGCTGATTGGTCGCCATTAGTCTTTGCACTTTGATCTCCATTTTATTAAATGCAGGCTTCAATGTACAAACCTTTTATTGCCAGCTGTAGATAACTATACACAGTTGTAGACACATTCCAATGGCAATGACAAATTGCTCAACACTACATGAAGGGTGCAACAGATGCTTTAAAAGCCTGCTTAGGCACAACAAGACAACACCGGCGATCAAGACTTAAAAGAACTATGAGGAGAGTGCTTTTCACTCACCTCATAGTTCTAGCCAACCTGTGACAATTAAACTGTCACAGGTTCAGTGTGAGCGAACACATACCGGCGTTCGCTCAGTTCTCGATCTTGTCACCGCTCTCTGCCGTGACGGGGGAGTGGCTGGATTCCCCCCTCCCCGCTCCGATCCTCCAGCGCTGACTGGCGGAACGGATCGGGGAGGGGGCAGGTACAGCTGGCTCTGCCTCTAGATAGGCAGAGCCAGCTGTCACTCACTCAGCTGGGCGGATCCAGGCATAATTGTCGGGATCCGCTTCAGCTGCGGCGCCTCAGTATACCGCGAGCTGTAGCTCGCAGTATACTGAGCTTAGGGTGACGGGAGGACGCTAAGGGGAACTATGGGGAAAAGCACTAACCCCATAGTTCTCCTTTAACAAGCGTTAATCATTTTACTGCCCTGCCGTACAAACCTGTCTCACGTGAAATTGTGCATGAATGGTATCCAAACCCAAAAACAAAAAAGTGTAGCATATTGCGCCTTATAGGAGGTGGCTGCATTAGTTTACCGTTTTCAGGCTTTTTCTCCCTCTCTTTTCACCTGGTAATCCGGCCACTACTACACTTAAGGTCCTGCTTGACAACATTTACTCACACCACTGTATCTATGGAGGAGCAGCATTGTCACCCTAGGCTGCTCCCTTCATTTGAACTATAAAACACATCCTCCTCTCTTCATTACATGGGTGGAAAGAGGATTTCTAGTTTACTGATGAAAGCTAAGCAGGTTGCCAACATTGTCTGAGCCTTATGTCAGACTGTAGTAAGAATGGCAGAAACACAAATCTATTGGCCAGACTCTCGAGTAAACATTCCACCCCTTGGGACTACCTCCACTCCCAATAAGAGAATTCCTAATATGACTGGAAGAGAGTGTTATCGATGCGGTAAACTGGGTCACTTTCAAGCCCAGTGTCCAGAGAAGGAACGTTCATCAAGCTTGATCCTGAGGACCACCCAGAGACCTCAGAAAGTGTTGTAGTGTAGGGAGCAAATTGGGCGCCCACTCACCATAACTTGCTCCAACGTTGAGAACGCTGAACAGAAGCAGGGGAGGCCAAAGCCTGTGGTCAAGGCCCCATCTACCCTGAATACTCAATCCTCTCCCTGTGTGTCTGAGCCTCCATCCCGGGAACGCAATGCACACTGTATACTTCCACGCAATATAAAGATTCGGAGAAGTGCAAGCAGAGTAAAAGTACTAAATACTCATGCCATTCCACTGACAGGACCAAAAGATGGCTTCCCTGAAAAACTAGTTGAGCAAGAACACTGCATTCCTGCAAGATAGGAGCTGTACTTGCTGAAATGTACTTAGCCTGGAAAGGGAAAACTAATGCAGCCTACCCATCCAATGAGACCTGACGCACATGGGATATATACTGCATAGGTGTAAAGAAGCAGCCACTGCTGAGGCGGGGAAGCAGAAGCAGTCAGTGTATAGTGTGAGCAGACCGCTGACTCCCTCACCACTTTGTTGATAGCATCCATGTCACAAAGAGCCTCAGACAGGATTCGGCAAGCTTCCTCTTGGCCCCAATGAGCCGCTGCATGAAGAGGAGTCCACCCGTCAAAGTCACGAAAATCCACATCGAACCCCAACTGAAGGAGCAGCCTAAGACAGATATGAAGAATGGGAGACAATGGAGATATGTAAAAACAGATTGATGGCAGGGTGATACAGGGAAATTACATGAAGATGTGTTGATAATATAAATGATCATTTCATTGTTCAATATAGTGTATTCCTTAGAAGAAAACCCTAAGTAAATATACAACTTACTTTGTAGTAAATATTTAATGCAAACTGTTGGGCTATATAAATCTTGTATAATGAATGCAAACACAGCTATGAATAATTAGGACCAGTGAATACGACTAACCCGAGTCTGATTATTTACACTGAAGTAATGTTCTGCACCATGCTCAGCCTGCTGCAGGAAATGAATCTGGCCTTCATTAACATCATGCTTTTATGTGCAGTGGTCAAAAAAGTACACCGTGCACACAACGCAGGTCGAAAAGTACCCCGCGCACACAGCGCAGGTCAAAACAGCAACAGCAGCCCCCACTCAAATCTGCACAATGCTTTAACTGCAAAATGTGATGTGCAGCAAACCAATTCATCGTCAGCACTGATATGTACACAATTCAGAATGTAATAAATAACAAGGTATACGCATCATTATGTACAATTACTGTCATTTTTAATCTTCTCCATCCTCGTCTTTACCATGGGCCTCATACTCAGAGTACATAGCACTTCATACTACAGAGACAGCTCACCTAATGACCTCAGCGTAGCCCTTTGCAGCAGCTACATGCAGAGGAGAAGCTCCAGTGGTTGGGTGTCTGATATCATCAATCTTTCCATTGTTCAACCAACGCCTTGCATCTCTCAGCATCAGCTCCTCTTCCTCTCTCTTCGCAGCTTCTATATCCACACCTAAAACAAATGGAATGCCGGTCACATGATCAAATACAGGCTGACCACACTGCAGTACGGGCATCCACGCACTAGCTATGGACAATACAATATTACCATATATGCTAGATGATTGCAGTAAAAAATAATGAAACTTAAATCAGAGCACGTTTGATGAGGACACACGATTCTTGACAAACTTTGCACTATTATTAAAAAAGTGCGTCTCACCTTGTTGCAACACAGATAATCCTGAATGCAAAACACCTACCCTGCTCCCGTTGCTGCTGGCCAAACCCTAATGACCAGATTTGTCCAGCAACTACGGTGCAAAAATGGAGTAAACCGATTTTCCATTAAAAAAAATGACCACATACTGCATACAATGAGACTGAGTTACTCCTCCATGCAGACGTGAAATTATTAAAAAGGTAGAGCATACTCCAATTCCAGTAAGTGCAGATTTAGAATTATTACTGCAGTGCGAAATTATTTTTTATGTTATTAGTTTTTATGTTTCAAAGTAGTTTTTGTAGAAAAAAAAAATAGAACAAAACATGTAAAACACTCAAGGATCAAATAGTTCAGTGTACTTTGTGGGGTTTTGTTTTATTTAACCATTACTTAACCATTGTATATTAACGGAAAATGTTTGATAATAAAAAATATCGGATTAAAAAATAAATAGTTCAGTGTACACAGAAAAAGCAACCAGTAAACAAAGTAACTTGACAATACAGAATGATGTGTGGCCCTTGATAGATTAGAAAGAATGGAATCCATCCTGATACCGTAACATTAGCAAAGGACCACCAAAACATGCCATAAGCTAGTCATATTTACATAGTTTAACTCTGCCAAATAGGCATACTAATAAGATGTGTAAAAGAACAAAAGGAAGAACAAAAAGATCAGAAAAGAAGACAAAGATAGATAAACAAGAAGATCATAGAAAACCATAGTGTATGGGTCTCGCAGACATGCCATCGCCCATCAATGCTCCACACAAGCTAAGTATTAAGGAATACCAAGTATCCCTCTAAAGCCATGGTTCTTAACCTGTGTAACCTCAGGACCCATATTTGTCCTCAGTCTTTAAGTCGTGACCCAAGTTTCTCCGCACTGGAACGCACAGGATTGTGGTACCGTGCGTTCCGGTACTGGCGATCCAACTGCGGGTGAAAGATGCCTTTGCTGTGCCATTCAAATGAATGGCACTCCCACACCAGAATGCGCAGTAGGTGCGATTCCATGGTAAGGTGCGTTAATCGCACGGGAACGGGCCCTCAAAAACACTGACATACATACACAAATTTCACACACTCACAGACATTCTCACACACTCCCAAAAAAAGTTGGGATGGATTTAAAAAAAAAAAAAAAAGGTCTCCCTATCTTATGAGAACTGGAGTGGATCCTGAACCTGGGGTCCAGTGTGGGCTGCTGTGTCACTCTGGTCCAGGCACCTCTACAGGACAAGCGAGTGAGCTATAAGCAATGCACGTATGGATGGATGGAGCTCCCTCGCGGCCATATCTCCAGCCCACACCACCTTAAGCTGACACTTGGCGCTGGGCAGCATATTTAGAATGGCTGCTTGGTGTGAGAACTGACAGTGCTGCTCTAGGGGGAGGCAGAGGGGCCTCTCACCTAGAAAAGTGGAAGGCATGTGGCGACGCACTGAAAACGGGGTCGCTACCCACTTTTGGGTCACGACCCACCAGTTGAGAACCAAGGCTCCATCCAGCAACATCCAGGGCTCCCAGACATGCAAAAACCTGGTCTGTCTATCCACCAGAATACGCACTAGTCGCTCATTCAGCATAATATTGTCCAATCTGCATATGAACTCACTAGAAGGCAGGGGTGTCAAACTCAATTTAATCGTGGGGCGCATCAACATTATGGTTGCCCTCAAAAGGGCCGGTTGCATCTGTAAGACTATATAAATGTATCTAATCTTTATCATAATTGCCTCTGCATTCACTGGTTTTAAAGCTACAGGAGAGGTGCGAGGGCCACATGAAAGGCCTGCTGGGCCCGATTTTGCCCCTGGGCCCTTTGACACATGTGCTATAAGGGATCTGAGGTTTTTATATGATTTTTTATGTGACACTCACATTTTTGGGAACCTTTCTCCTCCATAATGTTCTTATATTAGAGAGCTTTAGGATTAACCACTAGAGGGAGTGATCCATGGCTCAGAGCAATTACTCTGCTTCCTGCTTCAAGCCCTTAACACACTGCATGCGAAGCCGCGCAGAGTGAAGCAAAACAATGACTGCATCTTCAGCCAATCAGCTCCCGTGTAACAACCGGTTGGACTGCGCATCGTGACGCAGTGATGTTTATACGCACAAGCCGATTGGCTGAATATTACATTTTTCATCTCGGCATGCTCAGCTGTGCGAACTCTCGCGAGCGAACGTGCCGGATAGAAAATGGCATGGCACGCTGCACGTGAAGGCATTACAGCGTCACAGCCTTAACAACCAATCAGACAATAAGACTGCCACACATGGAGTGCATTGTTTTCAGCGAGTTGGCTGACTCGTAGAATTGCGATGTGTCATACATATCAAAAGGCTGCAGCGTCTTTTTAATTTAAAGAAGGGATCCATATATGATATTAAACCTCTTTACCAAAGATTGGAAAACCGGACCTCACTGACATTTTGCACCAATACATTTGGACAGAGATATGTCTGCATACTTCATTCTGGAACGGTGGACTCTTACCTTGCTTCTTAACCTCGCTCTTCATCAGCTTCTCCATGGCACTCTCATGGGCCACATCCAGGGGAAGTTCACCTTCACTATTTGGAATGGAAACACTGCCACCCTTTGAGATCAAGTACCTGTCCGAAGAGTACAATCACACTGAGAACAAAGCCATGTGTAAAGAAACAAACAACCTCCAGAAGAAAGTGTAATATTTGAACTGGTGACAGCAGAGAAATACAGTCAGCATCTGCAGTTGGCATAAACATCTTCCAAGTTGCCAGTGAGTTAGGGTAAATTGCTTATGTTAGTTACAAAAGGTGGTATATAGGAAAGTTTCTGTAATCCAGCCCCTCAACCTTTTTAACATGGAGGAATCCTTGAAATGAAGTTCAGGTCTCAGGGAACCCTACCAATAATTACTATATCTACGTCTCACTGTACATTAGTTCCAGTGGTGGCCAGCCAGAGAGCAATGCTTCTCCCAGTGGTGGCCAGCCGGAGAGCAATGCTTCTCCCAGTGGTGGCCAGCCGGAGAGCAAAGCTTCTCCCAGTGGTGGCCAGCCGGAGAGCAATGCTTCTCCCAGTGGTGGCCAGCCGGAGAGCAATGCTTCTCCCAGTGGTGGCCAGCCGGAGAGCAATGCTTCTCCCAGTGGTGGCCAGCCGGAGAGCAATGCTTCTCCCAGTGGTGGCCAGCCGGAGAGCAATGCTTCTTACATTGGTGGCCAGCCGGATAGCAATGCTTCTTACATTGGTGGCCAATGAGAAGAATTCCTCTTACAGTGGTGGTCAGTAGGAAGAATGTCTCCCCTTTACAGATACCTAAGTAGATCATTACTGTCACTGGTTACGTATCTGATACGAAGTCAGCATTTGCATACGGCAAATAACGTTTTTACACCCCCCACGTGCTTGGACACGTGGGATGTAGAGCAACTGTCTCCAGGACTGAAAAATGACAAAAATCTAAAAGTTGTCAGCAGAACAGGAATAAAGAGAGAGAAAGTCTTCCAATGGGGACACTGACAACTTTCTAAGAGAGAAATCCTCCCACTTCCTATTTGTCTATGGGACAAGAAGTGAAGGGATACAAAAATAAAAAGTACCCCGACAAGGGTCTCAACTCTTTTCTACTTTATCCAAAACTTAAAAAAAAAAGTTTGGGCTTTAGATATAATTTTCTAAATCACTACATCATAAACATTTTCCTTTTATGGTTTGGATAAACAATTTCTTTCTGTAATCACCGGTTACACATACATGTAGCACTATGGCGGTGCGCTTTAACTCAGAGCCGCCACATATTTACATACAGCCAACTCCTCAGTTTTCTGCTAGAAGTGCCCTCAATGGACACCACAAGCACTTTGACCCCGCTGTCACCGCTACAGTACGTGGTATACTGAGACGCCGCAGCTGAAGCGGATCCCGACAATTATGCCTGGATCCGCCCAGCTGCGTGAGTGACAGCTGGCTATGCCTATCTAGAGGCAGAGCCAGCTGTACCTGCCCCCTCCCCCGTCCGTTCCGCCAGTCGGCGCGGGAGGATCAGAGCGGGGAGGGGGGAATCCAGTCCCTCCCCTGTCACGGCAGAGAGCCGTGACAGGATCGAGAGGTGAGCGAACGCCGGTATATGTTCGCTCACCTCCCGATCTACTGAGCCGACCTGTGACAGTCTCATTGTCACAGGTCGGCTAGAACTATGAGGTGAGTGAAAAGCACTCACCTCATAGTTCTCCTTTAATATATAAAAATTACACAAGGAAAAAAAACTTGTATGCAATTATGTGAACAAAAGTAATACTACCAATGACAGGATGACAAATGTTTGGCTGCTGTCTAATAACAAAAAATGTCTGAAATCCCTGTAATTAGCAGATCACTAGACCTGTACAAAGGGTGTTGGAGACTGTATATTACTTCAAATACCAGGCTGTCATGGGCCTGTGAAGACGTCGGACGTACACCCCTGGTATAACCTGTTACAACCACATACCAGCAATAACTTAAAAAAAACAAGTACGTCATGACTGATATTATTCTGTCTTAACATTTTTAACTTTATTCATTAGCACGTCACAACGCGCATTGCTTATCTTTAATTGCACCTCAACTCAAAACATCGCTCTTTGCATTGTGGTGCATTTTGAAAAAGAAAGCAAGTGTGCGTTTTCATGCTTTAAGGCGCATTAGGCAGCCCGTTCAATTTGAATTGGCTGGGAATGTGCCTCAATGCGCTAAAGTCTACAAAATGAAAGTTTGGAGAAACTGAGTTGTAAAATTTGAGGTTAAACAGCTTAAGCAAATAGTTACCAAACTGACAAAAGCTATAAAATAGCCACGACCGCATGCTTAAAGCAGAGGCTGAGTGAGAGCATAGCACCCCCCCCCCCCCTTCACCCCACAATCCAATCCTC